TTTTTTTTTTTTTTTTGAGACAGAGTCTCACTTGTTGCCCTCAACAGAGTACCTTGGCGTCACAGGTCACAGCAACTCCAAACTCTTGGGCTCAAGCAATTCTCTTGTCTCAGCCTCCTGAGTAGCTGGGACTTACAGGCGCCTGCCCCAGTGCCTGGCTAATTTTAGAGAAGTCCACCCACCTCCGCCTTCCAGAGTGCTAGGATTATAGGTGTGAGCCACCACACCTAGCCAGAATATTCCATTTTAGAAGTAAAGTTAAATTGTAGCCCCAAACACTTGTGAGGATTATCAAGTAAAATAGAGAGTTGTGTTTTCCGTAAGGGGCACAGGAATGTTTTCAGGAAGGCAGAAGAATGTCTTAACAATTCCTTTCCACAACAACCTTTCCTTAACAACCCTTTCCACAGTGGGATGGCTTATTTCTTGTTGTAGGAGGATTGTTGGCAACATGCAAAAACATAGAAGGTTCAGTTGGTGAAGTGATTTCTATTGAGGCTTACCTCATTTTAATGTAAGCCATTAAAAGGTAATTTCTCATTTCTAGGTCATTTTTCTCATTACTAGGTCATTTTTTTTTTTAACTGATTGAAGGTTTATAACAACGCTGCATGGAGCAAGTCTGTCAGTATCATTTTCCCAACAACATGTGCTCAGTTTGTGTCAGCATTTTTTATCAATAAAGTACTCTTAGGAATGTACGTTGTGTTTTTGGACATAATGCTATCGCACGCATAATAGATTACAGTATAGTATAAACATAACTTTTATTTGCACTAAGAAACCAAAAAAATTGTATGACTCACTTTATTGTTACGGCCTGGAACTGAATCTGCATTATCTCCAAGGTGTGCCTATATTAAATTAGGTGATGTATTTCTGTAATACTCTCCAAAACTTAACATTGCTGTGATAATGTTCTTTTTCCTTGTTACTGAACCATTGATGCTGTTAGAGAGTGTTAGTAGAGCTGGAGTATTATAGTTCCCCAGGTACCCTTCTGATCTTTTCCTGTACCTGGCAAAGGAGTGTATCTATGAAATGATTAGTGTTACAGAAGCAGAATGTGTGGTCTTCTAGTGTCCTTAAGATTACTAAATGATCATCAGATGACCTTGTCTTCCTTAGCTTTAGGATCTGGCTGAGTTTAGCTGGTTAATGGTTATTGAGGTCTGTGTCTGATGGAGTGTTTACTGAAGTTTGGGAAGTGACAGTCCTTACTTTTAACCTAAAAAAATAAAATGTGTTAGAATATACAGGAACACAGAGTAGATTTATCTTTCATATTTATGGACCCAGTCTGCCATGTAACCTCTGAAATTTCCAGAAGTCAAGGAAAAGTGTTTATATTTTGTAGGCATAGACTTACAAATAATTACATTTTATGAACCTCTGTATATGTGTATATGTAGATATGTGCATGTTTGTATTCTGCATTCTTCATAGGAGAGGTAACATTCTTAATGCTCATCCAAATAAATACTCAGTATTTCCAAGGCTGTGTAGACTGTTTTTGTTATGTATTTTATTTCTGTCATATTTGAAAGTTAATTATGATACCATTTATTTTTATAGGATCTAAACCTTTCCCGCGTTACGGTTACAAACCCTCCCCGCCGAATGGATGTGGCTCTCCACTGTTTGGTGTTCATGTAAATATTTTTTTTATTTGATGTTTTATTTTACAGGCCATTTCTATTAGGTCTGTTTGAATGCAGTAATACTTTTGATAATATATGACTATCAGTATATTCTCAGGTTCACAAATAATTTTAGCCTCTGGTGTAGTAGTGATTGGGTTTATTTACATTCTTTTATGGCAAAACATTTAGTATGGTTACTAAATGAAGTAAAGTTAATGTTTTATCTTTGAATCTTATAAATGTTAATATCATTTAAATGAATATTTCTTAATGTTGCAACTATGGTCTAAAAGTTGTGAGTATGGAAATAATGATATCTCTTAATGCTGTAATCATGGTCTAAAAATTGTGAGTATGGAAATACCTGGGTAGAAAATGTGGGTATAAAACATGTTTTCTGGCCGAGTGTGGTGACTCACGCCTATAATCCTAGCACTCTGGGAAGCCAAGACAGGTGGGTTGCCTGAGCTCAGAGGTTTGAGACCAGCCTGAGCAAGTGCAAGACCCCTTCTCTAAAAAATAGCTGGGTATTATGGTGGGGACCAGTAGTCCCAGCTATTCAGGATGCTCAGAGAAGAGACTGGCTTGAGCCCAAGAGTTTGAGATTGCTGTGAACAATGACACCATAACACTCTACCAAGAGCAACAAATGAAATTCTGGCTCCTCCCCCCCAAAATGTGTTTTTTATATTGAAACAAGGCTAAGTGGGATAGCTGTGTGGTGGTTATAGGAGACACTGGACCCAAGCCAAGTATTATGAGGAAAAATGTTTATGAAAATTATTCTTAGATACAAGAGTTTTGTGTATAAGTTACTTAAAATAACTAAAGATAAGTTATAGATTCAGAGCAATGGTATTTTTGGTGAATGGATAAATAAAGATTTTTAAAAAACAAAATTTGAGTTGTAGGAGCTTAAAAGTTTTCTGTGACATTTAAAGCAAATTTTATTTGGGGTGAGAGGGCAGAAAACACTTTGATATCTACAAATCATACTTACTAGAGAAAATTCTTAATGCCTTATATATATATTTTTGAGACAGGGTCTCACCCTGTTGCCCAGACTAGAATACAATAGTATCTTCATATTTTCATAACTTACTGTGGTGTCATCACAGTTCAGTGTAACCTCAAACTCTGAGGCTGAAGCAATCCTCCTACCTCAGCCTCCTGAGTTGCTCGGACTACAAGCATGCACCACCTTGCCTGGCTAATTTTTTCTACTTTTGTAAAGGTAGGGTCTCACTATATTGTTCAGGCTGGTCTTGAACTGTTGGCCTCAAGCAGTCCTCCTGCCTTGGCTTTCCAAAGTGCTTGAATTATAGGCATAAGCCACCACACCCAGCATCTTTTTGTTTTTACAACTATGTTTTGTGTTTTGGGCAATTGGAAATTCTGTTTGTTACTGGCAGATAACTGCATAATCTAACACTGCAGAGTAGGGAGCAGTAAGGCATGGCTGAAACAAAGTAACATGGGTGGGTGTGGATAAGAGTAATGGGGAGATTTCTAACATGGAAAACCTTTGTAGGCAGAAATGGATTTTGGAATTATCTATACAGCAGTCATTGTCATTTCTGTTAGGTCTGTTTGAATGCACTACTTTACAGATGAGTCTTGCATTTTATTGACAATAACCCATCCAGATGTTTCTTGCAGCTTAACATTGGGATCCCTTCCCTGACAAAGTGTTGCAACCAGCATGACAGGTGCTATGAGACCTGTGGCAAAAGCAAGAATGACTGTGACGAGGAGTTCCAGTATTGCCTCTCCAAGATCTGCCGAAATGTGCAGAAAACACTAGGCCTAGCTCAGCATGTTCAGGGTAAGGCTGTTCTGACAGGCTGGGGAGGAGTGCACTTTTAAAAGTTTTACTGAATGCTTTATATTGTAGTCTAGAAGTCTTTCATATGTGTTATCCATTGTGGTGCAGACTGTTCCATTTTCTGAGGTGAGGAGTTGATGATTTCATAATCTGAAATGATTTATAGTCACAGAAGCAAGAAATGTTAAGAAACCTTGGGAAGAGGGTATTTGAGACAGAGAGAGAATTCACCACCTTGTGCCCTGAAGTATGTATCACTGATCATCCAGAGCAGGTATCCTCAAACTACGGCCCGCAGGCCACGTGCCACCTACCAAGGACGTTTATCCAGCCCACCTGGTGTTTTGGCCGCTGCTGCCTGTCCTGCTTAGCAGCCGACTTGTCCCGGGGCCTGCAGTCCGGCCCTCCAAGCGGTCTGAGGAACAGTGAACTGGCCTCCTGTTTAAAAAGTTTGAGGACCCCTGATCCAGAGCCTAGTGTATGAAACCCTGAATCTCATGTCTTAGTCCATTTGGCCTACTATAACAAACTACCAAAGACTGTGAGGCTTAGTAACAAATTTAATTCTTAAAGTTTTGGAGGCTAAAAGAGAATAAAACCAAGGCACCAACAGATTCATTTTCTGATGAGTGCCCACTTCCTGGTTCATAGAGTGGTGCATTCTAGCTGTGTCTTCACATGGTTGAAGGAACTAGGCTGCTTTCTGGGTCGTCTTATTTATAAGGGCGCTAATTCTATTCATGAAAGCCCCACTCTCATCACTTTAATCGCCTCCCAAAGTTCTCACCTAATTTCATCACTTTGGAGGTTACAGTTTCAACATACGTGTTATTGGGGGCCAGGCCAGTGGCTCACACCTGTAATCCTAGCACTCTGGGAGGCCGAGGCAGGCGGATTGCCTGAGCTCAGACATTCAAGACCAGCCTGAGCAAGAGCAAGACCCCATCTCTAAAAATAGCCAGGCATTGCAATGGGCACCTATAGTCCCTGCTACTCAGAGGCTGAGGCAAGAGGATCACTTGAGCCCAATAGTTTGAGGTTGCTGTGAACCATCACACCATGGCATGCTGTGGTAAGCAACAAAGTGAGACTCTGTCTCAAAAAAAAAAGTTTTGGTGGATCACAAACATTTGGACCATAGCACCACTGAATTTAAGATCATATATAGCATCATATATAGCATGATGGCTCATGCCTATAATCCTAGAACTTTAGGAGGCTGTGGCAGAAGGATTATTTGAGGCCCAGAGTTCAAGACCAGCCTGAGCCCAAGGAAGACTATCTCTACAAACAAATAGTAAAATTAGCCAGGTGTGGTGTACACCTATAGTCCTAGCTACTTGGGAGGCTGAGGCAGAAGACTAAGAGTTTGAGGTTGCAGTTAGGTCTGATGATACCACTGCACTCTAGCCCTGGGCAACAGGGCAAGACCTTGTCTGAAAGGAAAAAAATATATAGCACACTGTACATTGGATTTGGAATAAGAAGTTCTAGAAGATTTGTCTTACCTTTGCCTCTTCCTATGTATCTGTTGGTATGGCCCCCCAAATCATGCCCAGGTTCAATGAGTTCACTAGGAAAACCAGAGGACCTCTCATATAGTTGTACTTACTGCTATGATTTATTATGGCGAAAGGAACAAAGCAAAATCAGCAAAGAAAAAGAGCCTTTTGATGTCCTCATTTTCTAATTGGGGAGGGTGATATTACTCCCTTTACAGAGTTGTCAGAAAGGTGAAATGAAATATTTGTGAAAATACCATTCACTGTTTAAATACTAGTATTTATAAGATTTCTCTACTGTCGGCTCGGTGCCTTTAGCTCAACCGGCTAAGGTGCCAGCCACGTACACCTAAGGTGGCGGGTTCGAATCCTCAGCCCGGACCCGCCAAACAACGACGGCTGCAACCAAAAAATAGCCGGGCGTTGTGGCGGGCACCTGTGGTCCCAGCTACTTGGGAGGCAGAGGCAGGAGACTCGCTTGAGCCCAGGAGTTAGAGGTTGCTGTGAGCTGTAATGCCACGGCACCCTACCCAGGGGGACAGCTTGAGGCTCTGTCTCAAAAAAAAAAAAAAAAAAAAAGATTTCTCTACTGTCAAGCCAGCGAATGTGCTGTACACTGAAGTCAGAAGATGATGGGAATGGGAAGGGGCAAGGAAGGAAGCTAACAGCTTCAGCACTATCATAAGGTGCTGTGCTAGATACTTACTCATGTTTCCATTTAATGCTAACAAAACCCCAAAGTGATGGGTGGAGTTATCCCTGTTGTTTAAGGAAGGAAACTGTGGTTCAGAAAGAAGTAACTTGCCTCAAGTTTGCATTTAGACTATTTATCTCTAAAACCCATGTTCTGTCTACTGCAATATTCTCTAGATAGTCTCATATTGTAGCTCTCATTCTAATTCCTAATCCTAACTGTCAAGAAAGGCATCTCTGCTACATATGAAGCTTGAATTCACCACCTCTGTATTCCTTTGCAGCTTCTGGCTAAGGTAAACTAGCTGAAGCATAGATGGATATATTTCCTGTTTTCTGAGCTAAGGACTGAAACCAGTTTTCTTGTAGTTCCTATTTAATACTGATAGCCTCTACACATCTGTGGTTGGTTGGTCTTTGATGACACAGTCTTTTGAAGAATTTCAAAAATGTTAAGATTTTGTAATGAAAACTTTCTTTTTTAACATGAATATTTGAAACTGAAAACATTAGGACAACTAAAAGCCACTCTGCTATATCTCTGTAAGTGTAACATGTTCAAATACTCTCACCTTTGTGTTTCAGGTTTCTTAAAATAAGAAAAGTAAATAGGCTTGGCACCTGTAGCACACTGGTTACGGCGCCAGCCACATACCCAGGGTAGCAGATTTGAACCAAGCCTGGGCCAGCTAAACAATACTGACAACTGCAACAAAAAACAGCCAGGTGCTGTGGTGGGCACCTGTGGTCCCAGCTACTTGGGAGGCTGAGGCAAGAGAATTGCTTAAGCCCAAGAGTTTGAGGCTGCTGTGAGCTGTGACGCCATGGCACTATACTGAGGGCCACATAGTGAGACAATGTCTCAAAAAAAAAAAGAAAAGAAAGTAAATAAATCAATTATGTTTCTTATAGTCTTAAAACATTTTTCAGAGCCCTTCCAGGGTAAAAACACTTTTGATTCCTATGCTCCTCCTTCAAGCCATATTTGGATGTTGGTCAAAGAATTTATGTTAAGTGTCTTACGTGCATGTGATTGGTTCTCAGAAGCCATTGGCAATAATGAAGTGTGTTGAGGTTTCTATTTTTAAACTTTGCTTCTGCATTACAACATCTTTCCTCAAAATCTGTGTGTGAGCAGGCATCTCCATTGGCAATTATATTTTTCAGATGAAAGGAATGTTAACACTGATTAATCAGTACTATTTCTAAAGACTTAATTTGTCTGGGATGAACAGTTGGGTAGAACAGTTTAATGCAAGCAAAATATAACATAAATTTAAAGAGACTAAAACTGGAAGTCTGTACACACATGTGCGCACACATGGAATGTGAGCGTTTGGGAACATGTCCACTAACATGGTTTGAGTGCTCACTAGAGATGAGCGTGACACTGAGATGTGATATGTAATACAGGTGAAAGGGGAGAGATGCTTTGCAGTTGCCCAGCAGTAATTGTGTTTCCTTACTTTGCAGCATGTGAAACAACGGTGGAGCTCTTGTTTGACAGTGTCATACATTTAGGCTGTAAACCGTACCTGGACAGTCAGCGAGCTGCATGTAGGTGTCGTTATGAAGAAAAAACGGATCTTTAAGGAAGATACTGACAGTTGGTGACAGATGAGGATGGAAGAACATAGCCTTTGACCAAGAACAAATGTTTTTATAGCATAAAAGTATCTTATTTTATAAAAGATTATTTTAAGACCTTACAAAAGTTTATATTTTAACATTAAAACCTCAAAGTAAAACATATTGGGGGAGGTCAGAGGAGGTGCGCCTGCCTTCTCAGCTGGCTTCCTGGTGGTGTTGCCTTAGTGTGCCAAATTGCCTTGACCAGTATTTGTTAAGGAGAGAATTTTTACAAAGAAAAATATATAACTTGATTTTTGCAACCAAATTTACCAAAAAAAATGAGATCAAATATAAAATTCATTATTAAAGCTGTTCAACATTTTTTTTTTGAAACTACAGGAAATTCTTCACTTAGAAGTATTATTTGTTTACTAGGAAATTTTAAATACACATTTATACCTGAAAGAAGCTACATTTATTATTTCTCTATTTTAATTACACATAATTTGTTGTTTTTCCATTGAGCTTATAAATAAGTCACAGTTCTATTAGGACTAGTTATAAGGACAAGGTTTCCATGTCTGTTTTTCTTATAAAAGTGACACCATCAGCTGATTACCACGCAGGAAAAAAATCCAGGGTATCTAATCTAAATATTATGTAATGTGCCGAGAAGGTGACATGAACAAGATACAAAAACATAGCTACTTAGGTTTTATGGACCACTCATAACACAAAGGTCTCAATTGGAGTAAAGGTGGATTTAATGAGACAAATGAAAAGTTATTTAACAAACACATTAGTAGGCTATTTACTGTTATGCTTTGATGTTTATTTCCTAGCACTTGTTCCTTGTGGTAGATGCTGGGATACTTTTAAAGGACTATAACCTTTTACTAATTGTGGTCTTAATAAAAGTTGTTCTTGATACTCTTTTTTCTTTTCAAGTCTTTAACTCTGGAGTTAAAGGAATGGAAAAGGTAAGGTAAAAATAACTGCCTCTTGTGAATCTCTTATTGACATTGAAAATTATTAACAGATGTTTAAGAGCAAATCCCAGAAAATTTGGCTGCCTCTGAATATGTCTGTAAATGTTGAAAACTTTTTTTGTTGTTCTTGAGACATAGTCTCATTTTGTTGCCCTCTGTAGAGTGATGTGGTGTCATAGGTCACAGCAACCTCAAATTCTTGGGCTCAAGTGATCCTCTTGCCTTAGCCTCCCAAGTAGCTGGGAGTATAGGCACCCACTACAATGCCTGGCTATTTTTAGTGTGTGTGTGTGGGGGGTTCTCAACTTTTGCTTAGGCTGGTTTTGAACTCAGGCAGTCCATCTGCCTCAGCCACCCAGAGTGCTAGGATTACATGCCTGAGCCACCGAGCCCTGCCAAATGTTGAAAACTCTTCAACCTCTTGGAATGCTCAGCTATATTCCTATACTGGCCTTTTCTTAGCACTGGCCATTACCTTTCCCTAGCCCAGGATTCCATGTTATATATATCTTTCTGGTACCCAGTGGTCAAAGTTGGAAAGTCACAGAAGGACAGCACATGGAGAGGAGTTCTTTGTAAGTCATTAGAGGCAGAACCAGGCAGAAGAAAACATGTTCTGAGAAAGGGCCACATTCCTAACGTTGAAGATGTGTCATTGTCAGGAGCTTAATATCTTCAACTTGAGGTGGTAGCAGCTGTTCCGCTAACAGATGTGCCCTCTGTTAGACCAGGCAAGTGTATGCCTATGACCAAATGAGCAAACTGGGCTCCAATTTAAATCTTTGGAACCCTTAATCAATATGTATTTCAAACTTTTGTAAGAGGTACAGTTTTTGTTGTTTTTTTTAAAACAATTTTTTTTGTTGTTTTGTTGAGACACAGTCTCAAGCTGTCACTCTGGGTAGAGTGCAGTGGCATCATAGCTCATAGCAACTGCCAACTCTTAGGTTCAAGCGATCCTCTTGCCTCAGTTTTTCTATTTTTAGTAGAGACAAGGTCTCACTTTTGCTCAGGCTGGTCTCCAACTCAGACAATTCACTCACCTCCCAGAGTGCTAGGATTACAGGTGTGAGCCACTGCACCCAACCTCAAGAGGTACAGTTTTAAAAGTTGTTATCAATACTTAATCAGTTTTTATTTTTTAAATGCTTCACAAGGTAATTTGAAACTTATAATGAATTTGTGGATTTTCTTAGCAGCATTGCCTTTCTCCAGAGGACAAACTCAGACTGTCTTTATAACATATTTTATACCACATAAATTATATAAAGATTAGTAGAAAGAGTTTTGTGTTCAGATTTTTAAAAAATAGACTTATCTTGGAACAAGTTTAGATTTATGAAAAAGTTACAAAGAAAGTTTCTTTTTTTTTT